CAGAATGCTGAAGTTATCAGCACATTTTTGCAGCCAATTTCGAGAATAATTGAATAGCTAACCAAGATCCCAGGCGTTGGACATCGAGGCCGGCGCGGCGGACTTAGTTCCTATGGATTTTAATTTTTGCGGAAGAATAAAGGTTGTCGCCCACTAGACCGCGGCGCGACGCGGCGCGGCGCCATGTGGGAAATTCTTTTGTCTGCTTGCCATGTATTTAAATGGAGCAACGCACATTAGAGCGCGGTGCGTCGAAGCGCGCCGCGGAATTTCCGTCAAGAAGTCGGAAGACTTCTCTAGCAACTTTTTTCCGTCTCCCGCGTTTCGGCGCGGTGCAGTGTGCGTACTCACAACGGAAATAATTTTGCATCTCGAGTCTCTTTACTGGCTTTTTGACTAGGAACTAGTGGTACGTATCAATGGTAGAATTGCATTTTGAAAGGTAAATTAGGCAAACAGATTTTTAAAAAGGAATATGATATTTTTTTTTAGTTTTCCCTCACTAGAGACAGATGGACGAAATGTTTTTCTATCAAAGATTTAATATATTGAGGGGTGTAGAAGCAAAACCGGCAATCTCCACTTTTGGAGAAAAGTGACAATCTCCAATTTTTAAATTCTAATTACCTAAATATATAAAAAAAGATTAGGGTTTTTTCATCACATAACTAATATAAGAATATATAAACAAGGCTAATATATACATCAGAATAAATAAGAATTATCAAAAGTCGTCAGCTATAAGCGATTCATTATTGCATCATTAGTAATTTGTCTCTTCTGAAAAAATATGATGAGTAGAGATACCCGGTGTTATGCTTCTAAAACCCTTAATTCAGGAGTTCGTAAAACGTTTCCTTTACATTTTGTAATACTGAAAAAAATGCTTTTGTCTTGTATTAAATAAGGAAAAAGATGGTAAAATTCTCCAAACTTCTTTCTTTTTTTGTTAATCTTATGAGTCCAAACTTTCCTTTTCTTCTTCACCTGCTCTTCCTCTTCCTCTGTTAGAAGAGCACAAAAAATACGCTTTCGTTCGTACTTGAACTCATTGCTTTAAAAACTAAACTACAGTAAGTAAAAAACACTTCGACTAACTAAATAGCGTTTCTGCGTATCAAAAGCGCGCTATAGTGGGCCCAGTCCCTTCGCAGCCGGAAAAAAATCTCTTCCCAGCGCCGCGCCGCGCCGCGTTCTAGTGGGCGACAACCTTAAAGGTTCTTATTTTTAAATTGCCCATATATAATCTAGGCAAGAATTAGAACTACTTATGCGAGGGTATCTTTCATCCCCACTGAGTTAATTAATTCCGCGAGAAATGTTCAAAGACGGTCTATCCATAACAGAAGACGGTCGACATATCGAACAACCAAAATCTCAAGTCTTGGTTTGATATTAATTTTTATTGTTATTAGATATAGTTTAAATGTGTTGATGTTGTTAAATGTAATTTAAATTGTTATAAAATTCTGCATCTCTCATTGCAAATATTATTCCGCCGTTCAAAGCCGACTTATTCAAAGTGGGCGAATTTTTACAAACTGTATATCTGGAGAGAAGAGGAAACGAGCATAATATCAAGCTAATTTTAAATTCTTTTCAATGAATTAAAAATATACAGGGTGTCCCATATAAAAAATCAAATTTTCTATTCATAATTCCTAAATTGTTAATTTAAAAAAATATATTCTTAAACTATTAAATTCTATATAAAAAGGTGCTTTGGAAATGTTTTCATAAAAATACAAAATTTTCTATAGCAAAAAAGTTACGGTGATTTGTTAAAAATGCACTTTTTTGAAAACATCCCGTAACTCCGAAACGTCATGTTTTTGATAAAAATTAAGCTCCAGACACCGATGTTAGTTTTCGTCTATCTCCTACAGAAAAAGGTGTTTCCCTTTAAAAGCGTCCAATTTGGCCCACCCTGTATATGTGTTGATAAATAGTATATGTCAAGGGTCGACAAAGGCCCGGAACTTAAGATACCGCTGAGTCGGCAGTCGTTGGTAGTCGCTGGCAGTCACTGGCAGTCGCTGGCAGTCGTCGGCAGTCACTGGCAGTCTTGTATAAAATGACATTTTGGCAATACGTGTACATTTTTTACCCTAGTGAGACAACCCTCGCCTGCGACATATATAATCGTCATCTTGCCCCTATAAACTCGTCATCTTACCCCGGTACTGGGGCAAGTTGACGAAAATGCACTTTTTTGTTTCTTTCTTCATATTTTTTCAAAAGTAGACTTTTATTTTGTTTTTTATGTTTCATTATGTACCTGAATAAATGTACTAACAGATGAAATGGGATCTTTTTTTTTAAACCCGTTAGTTCGTGTTTTGGAGCCTTTTGTATTTTACTTCGCCAACTTGCCCCGATCTCCCCTATCCCCTGTGTGCTAACTTTGATGTAAACTGTTGCTGCTAGACTCCATAAAGGGTAGTATAATCTGGTATAATACCATACGATCGAAAAGAAACGGCGTCAGAGGTGGCTTGGAAATGAAGATTGCTGTTATTTTGTATGTAAAATTATATGGGAAATGTCATCGATCGTAATTTTCAAGCTAACTGAACGCCGTTTTTTTTTCGATGGTACAGTATAAATTGAAAGCTCTTAACTCATACAAATAAACTTCTAAATTTTGACGCAAAATTCAGTGACATAATAGTTAACAGCTCTAAAATATACCTACATGTTAGTAGTATTCTTTCGTTCTGAACGAACTGAAAATTTTCACTTAAACTGATTTATTTCCTATACCACAAAAGGTAATAAATCAGTTTAAGTGAAAATTTTCAGTTCGTTCAGAACGAAAGAATACTACTAACATGTAGGTATATTTTAGAGCTGTTAATAAAAATATCCAATGAATAACGTCAAAATGTGGCTAAATAAAACTAAATTGCGAACGTTTTTACTATAAACTAAGGATGAGGTAAATATTGTCAAATAACAGTCCTCATATAATGTCCTAAAAATATTCTATAATGCTCCCAACATCATCCTTGTATTATCCTATAAATATCCCAAATAATAGTAAAAGGTTTGCCTAGGGATGTCTTGAAGATGACTTTTTTTGTTCCATCTGGATATCCCATAAATATCCTCCTCTGGTTTTTTGGATATCCTTAAGATATTAACTATATCCTTGGTGGATATCCTCAAGATATCTATAGGATTGTGTTGTGTTATATGGGTTAGGCGGCATCTCTACTCACTTGAAAATCTTAAATAGCAACACCCCACTTGTGGCGCCTTTTTGGAAAGCCCATGAAAAATGCTAAACGATGATCATAAAGTTTCTAGGGTGAAATTGAAAAACTACCCCTTACACGAAAAATTAGGTGGACATTAATGAAAAAAGTGATTTTGTCAGCATAAGTTATACAAATTGGGACCCAGCTAAATGAGGCAAATGAGGTATTTTTCAAACCACCCCGACCCACCTCTATTATAAGGACCTTACACTATTCCGCTAACAACAGAAAAAAGGTCTGTGGCGTACATGCTTTTTTAGAAAATATATTCCAGTAATAACCCATATGCACGTCCCTGTTGAATATGTAGACACTTTTTTAGCTTTAAAATATGTTGCATTTCTGGTATATAACTTCTATCCCCAAAATTTCATTCGAAACACTAAAGTACTTGGAAGAAAATTATAATAAATCGAAAAAATATTAAGACTTTAACACCCTGTAGCTAGAAAACAAAACAGAATCAGACCTATGTTGATATGAAAAATAAATCGTATTTTTACGTAAAGAATCTCCCCACGCAAGATGGCACATGTTTTTTGAAACACCCTTAGAGTGTTTGATATTAAAATTCATAACATATTTTACAGAGAATTTAAATATGTAATAAAAGATGTCAAATTCCTGTCAACTTTCGATATTTCCGGAAATGTTGCCATATTGAACATATTTTTAATCGACAGATCTCGATGTGAAACAATCAATGATGTGCCAAAATCTCCGATTTAAATATAGCACTTAGTTCTCTACAAACTTCTAATGCACGCTCATCAGCCTGGTACACCCTGTATATTTAACGGATTTCAATAATATATAGTTTTACATACTTTCAGTACCTCTTACTTAATAAATGCTTAGAAGTTGAGCTTCATGTGACAACTTACCGAAAAAAACTGGTTCTGTATAGTGTGTTGGTGACCAGCGATTTCTTATACACACATTGATACATCTAGGTTCCCTTCTGATGAGGTGGTCGATGTCTTCTTGGGGTATTTCATTCTATGCTATGGTGGTGTTTAACTTCAAGAGAAAGGACTGTTAAAGTCGGTGACGGTTCCTCAATAAGGGCACATGTGCAAATTAAACGCCGAATTTGACACCTACCTCTTCTTGGGAGAAAAAAAAAATAAAATTTATTATTAATTCTGTTTTCCAAAAGATCAAAGTTGGCTTTTATTTCGTAACGAAGAAATGATGATAGATCGTCATATGATTTTTTATGACTGCGATCTTCATTCCCAAGTCAACTTTGACGCCTCTTTGATTGTATCGTACAGGGTGCGATTGGAGCATGGTACAATATAATTCTACGGCGAAATTCTATTTCCGCTGGAGGGAGCAATGAAGGAAACAAATAGTTGGCATAATATACTATATACCGTGTGATCAAAAAAAAAAATACGGCGTCAGCGATGGCTATAAAATGATGATCGCTTAATTTTATATGTAAAATTATATGGGGAATGTCATCGATGTTCCAAGCCAACTGGACGCCTATATTTTTTTCGATCATATCTTGGTATATCACATATTAAAAAAAATATTTTTGACGTTTTTTTTTCTTCTAATACCAAATATTCCCTAATCTCAGAGAACCTTTAAGTATATAAAAGTACATTAGAATTGAAAATACATTTTCAGGTATTTTTAAATATAAAATTCAATAATTTTAAAGCCCTAATTTCTAATTGAACTTATATACATTTTTAAGGTCTTGAAATGATATGAAAACAAAAGAAATACAACAAACTGATTATTTTTATTTTAACAGTTAATAAAAAAATTACACAATCTACTCAAATCATACCATCAAACGCACAAATATCAGGAATGTCCATCTATATATACTTTAGCACAATTAAAAAAATAAACAAAATAAAAACTACAATATACACTTCTAAATTTGAGTATTCCTAGTCTTAACATTAAAGAAGACTATTCATCTATAGATATTAACACTTTCTTTCAAATATAATTTTTACAATAAATATTTTTGGTGTCATTTTACTTTCAGAGAATATAAAATATAATTAAAAATAAGTTAATATGTGTTCATTAAATTCCACTTGACCAATTACAAGCAATTTAATTATCAAATCATATATCTACTTACAATCTGTAATATATAATTAATATATAATTTAATTACAAACAATAGGTATACAGAATATAGCTATAAGAGATGTGCTATACGTATTGGGGATAATTGCTGATAATTTAGATTAACAAACCACTTTTATACACTTTACATACTATTTTCTTATTCCTAAATGAACTTCATAGAAATATAGCAATCATGATCAAATCAGACAGAACTTTTAATATTTGCTTTAAAAGATCTGAATTGATAAAAGTAAAACATATTTTTAACCATATGGTTTAAAAATGGAGTAATTATAAAAAAAGATGATATTACTTACATCACTGGAACATTAATAGACAATATTATTCTAGTGAATTTAACATTAAAAGTTGCTTAAGAACTTTTGTTTGTGAAGTCTCCCTAATCTCACCAGCTAAAAACATTTCATCTACTACTGTGTATACTTTGTAAAAGTTGAAAACCAGGTCTAGTTCACAGACATTGTGAAAGTATTCATTGAGAACTTCGACAAAATTGTGAATAGCTTCCAAATAACACAAATTGTTATCATTTACATCTACACAGATACAAAAGTACAGTCCTGCATACCTCCGGTACACTATTTTAAAGTTGCGAAACTAAAACACAAAGAATATACCCATATAATTATAAAAAGTTTCTTAAACAAGTGTATAGTATATAGGTACCTCAACAAAATTAGTATGCTTGGCATCACGAACTGTAACAACTGCATGTACCTCCTCAATTAATTTTTGTTTCTCGTCGTCATCAAAATTCATGTACCATTTAGCTAGACGTGTTTTTCCTGCTCTATTTTGAATCAAGATAAAACGAATCTGAAAATAACAGAACCGTGTTAAAAAAGGAGGCGTTTATCAAAAAAGATTTACAAATGTATTCATTTTTATATGAAAGATAATAAAATTAAAGCTGTATATATAATGTAATTTGTTCGTACCATTGTAAGTAACAAAAAATATCTATGTTTTATTTTCTATAATTAATATTTAAAGAAATTAGCTGATTTAAAAAAATCTTTAATTTTCAATTTACCAAGTTAAATGTCACGTCTACGGAGTGAAGTTAGGTATTAAAAACAAAATGTGTCAAAATTTACCCGTTCTCAGGGTTGTCATATTTGTCCAGTCCAAAAGCGCAACCCTGGGTCGGCATCGGCATGTCGCAAATCACCAAACCAGGCAAACATTTTTTTTTCGTGTAGCATTATTGCATTCAATCATACAATACCCATACAATATTGCTAACTCTGTTGCTAACAATAAATCGCAATCAGTATCGTAAACGCAAAAGCAAAACCCCCAGAAAGTACCCGTTTGTCGAATGCATTTTTAGTAGCGGGTTTGCATTTTAAATTAAGTACTTTTTAAAGTCGGTACCTATGGTCGGTACCAAAGAAAAACAACCGTTGAACGTGTTGAACGCGGTTTTGAGCGGTTCTTAATTATGTCGGTACTTCCTTGGGGGTTACCTCTTTGGGGACTTTCCATGGTACTTCCTATGCCAAAGAGTAAAAAATACACATGGAAGTAATAAAGTGAGTAATGGTGGGTTCATACAGCCAAATAAAATAAAATAAGAATAAAATAAAATAAGAAATAAGGAATTCTTATTTGTGTGCGTTCATACAGTCAAATAAAATAAAATAAGAAATATATATTTGCTCATGCGCAGTACGATGAGGCTGGATAAAAGTTAACTTTTACGATTGTTTATAGTAATTTTACTATTTATAGTATATTTATTTATTCGTTGCCTACTATATTATACATTTTACTTATGTGAAATTATAAAATAAATTAAATCCAAACTGAAAATATTTGTAGGTTAGAATTAAGCGTGCGCAAAGCCGTTTTCACATAAAATAAAACAAGAAGTTAAAAGATAAGACTTCTTATTTTATTTGTTATTTTATTTGGCTGTATGAACGCATGTACGGTATCCCATATAACCAACTTTCTTATTTTATTTTATTTTATTCTTATTTTATTTTATTTGGCTGTATGAACCCACCATAAAGCAGGTTTGGATTTGGATTTGTCTTTCACCCATAGCCAGTATGGACCAAAGGTAAGGACGTATCGAATTTGATCAGATAATGCGGAACCCAAGGAATAGGTTGGGGAATAGGTACATTAAGGTGGAACCTATCTTAGCATTTATTAATTAACACTAGGGTGATACCCTAATAACAGGCTGGATAGTCCTAGTAGCTTAGGGCTTTAAATTAATTAACAGGTAGTACCCTATTAGTAGATCAGATAATCCTAGTGGCTTAGGCCTTAAAAAAAATCTTTATTATTCTACCAATCGACCGGATAGCCCTGGCAGCTGTGGCCATTAGACTAATATACTACTAACCTCACTATTATATGTCACATTTATTTGTAAACATTACTTAAATTTTTTATTTGTCGTTTGTTATTTATTAATCCATACATGCATACGGTATTGGGATTTTAATTTAATATAAGATATAAAATAGTATATCTGATTTAAGATGAAGCTGGTAAGTAGTTCAAAGTATTTATTAAAAGATTACAGGCGTCCGTTTAATGTATTATTTTTGTTTTAGTATTGTTTAAGTAACGATCCCAATAAACCATGTCATATACTTACATTTCGAGAAATTACAGTAATGCTGGATTGTGGTTTATCTATGCAGTCTGTTTTAAATTTCCTACCATTATCATTTGTTCCTTCGAATAAGTTTCTTAATTTAAACAGTTATATGCCACCCGATGTCTCTGATACGGATTTGGAAGGCGTCAGTAGTTCTGTAAAAGTAAGTAGATATATAAATCAAATAATTTAATTTGTAGGAGCTCAAGGAGAATTGTGATAGAGTATTTGTGGATTCCCCGCCAGAATTTAATCCTCCTCTAGATAAGCTTATTGATTTTTCTCAAGTCGATGTTATTTTAATCTCAAATTACCTATGCATGATGGCTTTACCTTTTATTACTGAAGGAACTGGATTTCAAGGAAGGGTATATGCTACAGAACCAACATTACATATTGGAAGGCAAGTATAATGTGTTTTGTTTAATTACATTTCTAACCTGTTCAGTTGTATAGACTTCTACTTGAGGAATTAGTTATATACATTGAACAATGTCCTAAATCAAATTTTGCAATGCAATGGAAGAACTTTACTCACAGGTGTCCTTTTCCAATAAATGAAGCTTTCATGCCAAAATCATGGAAGCAAATTTATAATATGAATAGTGTTAATGCAAGCTTGTCCAGAATACAAATGGTGGGCTATAATGAGAAAATTGTATGTGCCTATCTTTTTTATTATTTATATTAGTTAATATTCAGAACTATGCATTGGATTTCTCATTTAGGATGTTTATGGTGCACTGCAAGTCATTCCTGCTAGTTCAGGCTTTTGTTTGGGCTCAGCTAACTGGGTTATCACTTCAGATTATGAAAAAATTGTATATCTTAGTGGATCCAGCACATTAACTACCCATCCCAGACCAATGGACCATCATGCTTTAAAAAATGCTGATATACTTATCATGACTGATCTAACACAAACACCTATCAGTAACCCTGATTCAATGTTAGGTGTTTTATGTGTGGTTGTTGGTAATTTCTAAAAATATTTGCTTAATAGCTATATATGTATATTTTAATTTTTAGGGCTGACTTTGAGAGGAGGTGGCAATGTTCTTATACCATGCTATCCCACAGGAGTAGTGTATGACCTTTTTGAATGTTTATCAGGAAAAATGCAAGAATTGGGTGTGTCAAATTGTCCGATGTTTTTTATTTCTCCAGTGGCGGATACTTCATTAGCCTATTCAAATATTTTGGCCGAATGGTTGAGTTCAGCAAAACAAAATAAGGTAACCATATTTATTTTTATTCTTAAATAATTTTATATAATATACCGTATGATCGAAGAAAACGGCGTCAGCGATGGCTATGAAATGAAGATCATTTCCCAGCCAACTGGACGCCCTTTTTTTCATACGGTATCTTAGTTTATTTTTATAAATCAACAATTTGTTATGGCATTTTATACAAGTGATTGTGTTGGTACATCTGAACTACTTGATATTTTACATTAATTTTGTTGAACTTAATTGATTTTTTAGGTCTATGTACCTGATGAACCTTTCCCACATGCAGTATTAGTAAAAAATTCAAAATTAAAACACTTTAAACATATTTATTCTGAAGGTTTTAGTACTGATTTTCAAGAGGTAGGAGACACAAAGAAAAAAAAGTTGTTATTTAAATAATTTTTGTAATTTCCAGCCTTGTGTTGTATTTTGTGGCCATCCTAGCCTTAGATTCGGAGATGTGGTCCAGTTTATAGAACTTTGGGGCAACAATCCTAGAAATTGCATAGTTTTTACAGGTAAAATTTAAATACTTCAACTATAATTACATCTAAAGATTTATGAATGTTTTAGAGCCTGATTATGATTACATAGAAGCACTAGCACCCTACCAGCCTCTTCAGATGAAAATAGCTCATTGTGCTATTGATACTTCTCTTAATTTTACCCAAGCAAATAAGTTGATAAAAGATCTGAAACCAGCCACTTTAGTGGTTCCAGAAATTTATACCAAACCACCAGTATCAGCTCCAAATTTGTCAGAGCTTGTTATCCATAGCAATCCTGATGTAAATCTCATCCCTTATAAATGGGGAGAGGCAAGTACACTTTAGCACTTATTATTTCATTTGATACTAGCGTGTACTAGCGACTTCGTTCGCGTCGAATTAATCATTTATAATGGTGATGATAAAGCAAAGCAAGAATTTCCATTAACATACAAACTGGATAAAATTTTCTCACATTTATGTTAGCATGAGAAAAAACAATATGGCGATATTATTATATAACTTGGTAATATTTGAGGGATAGTTTCATCTCGTTGGAATTTGACTTTGGAAAACTCCGTTTGCCAAAAATAAGCTTTTTACGTTAAGCAATTTCAGCAGAATCGTGGTTAAGAAATTAGCCAACTTTTTGGAACATCCTGTATGATTTTTTAAAAAAATTCAAAATATGTAAAAAAACAAATAAATTATGCTTGTCCAAGCGTTTTCCCGAAAGACTAACCGTTTTTTAAATAACAGATATTGTATTATTTGAGGGGCATTTTCACCCTCTTGGAATTTGTGATTGGAGAAACCCCTCCTTATCGAACCTCTACACCCCACAGTCAACCCGTTTGCCAAAAATCAGCTTTAAACGTCAAGCAGTTTGAGCACAATCGTGATTACTCAATGGTCATATTTTATGAAGCACGCTGTATAAATTTATAAAAAATCTTAAAATATGTAAAACAACAAAATAAAATATACGTGTTTAAGAGTTTTTCCGAAAAACTCACCGGTTTTTAAATAAAAAATATTTTAATATTTGAGGGATAGTTTCACCCCCTTAGAATTCGAATTCCTCTACACCCTAAAGTCAATCTGTTTTCCAAAAATCAGCTTTTTACGTCAAGCGCTTTAAGCAGGATCGTGATTAATCAATGACCAGATTTTTTGAAACACCCAGTATACATTTTTAAAAAATCTTAAAATATGTAAAAAAACAAAATAAAATATACGTGTTTAAGCGTTTTTTCGGATAAAAAATATTGTAATATTTGAGGGGGGGTTTTACCCTCTTGGAATTGGAATTTCGAAAAATCCCTTCTTATCGAACCTCTACACCCTAGAATCAACCTGTATGCCAAAATTGAGCTTTTTACGTTGAATGGTTTGAACAGGATCGTGATTAATCAGTATGTCAGTCACTTAAGGATTTTATATATTAGTATAGATTACCCTTTATTACTGACTGGATTTATATCTATACTGTTAAAAATGGTCATATTTTAAAAACTACTTCAGTGACGCTACTTAATACTCTTTTTTTAAAGTTGATATTTCTAATTGTTATAGGTTGTTAATTTGCCTTTAAAAAGGAAACAAGGTCAGATATTTATTGAAACTGAGGTGGCTAAAAAAATAGTCCCTGTTGAAATCAAGCCAGGAATCAGTCTGTCCACTATAACTGGTAGTCTGAAGGTTAAAGATAATGTCCATAATATCCAGGTATAGATAAACTGACTAGCATAAATTTAAATGAAAATATTTATCTTTTATTTTTTTTCAGGATATCTCTTCAGACTATAAATTATTGAATAAAAATGTAAAATATGAATGGGGTTCTGTGAATATTAACGAATTTAAGCTAAAACTTCTTCAAGAAGGTATTACTGATGCTAAAGTAGAATCCTTAGGTGGCAATGTTGTAGTAATACATCTGGTAAGTTTTTTTAATTAAAAAGTCAAATAATTTGCTACAAACTGCTTAAACATTATCAAAATCGGCTCAAAGCAAGATATATTAAACTTTAAAGTACAGGGTGGTCGAAATTGGTCTGTTTGACAGAGAAAACCTATTTCCTGACTAGATAGAACAAAACCGACATAGATGTCATGCGCTCGATTTCTGAGACGGGGTCTTTTTGAATTTTTTACCATTTTGAAAATTGCCCATAACTTTTTTATTTCGCGGAATAATAAAATTCTGTAAAAACGTTCTTGAGGCAATTTTTAACCACAATCCAGTGGCGTAGTCGGTTTTTTTATGGTTGCCTTTTTGACAGAAATAATAAAAAATAAATTTTTTTAAATGGAAATCATAGTTGGCTAGGAACTTAAAAAATACTGGCATTTAACTATTTGCAGAATGCAGAAGAATGAGAGAAATATTACGTTTTTGATCTTTATATCGAAGTGGGCCTTGATTTTGTGTTGACCTCTTTGCCTAATTGTTTTTTATCACAATCAAATATTCTGTATTATTATTTATCTTTATAATTAAATATTTTTGAAAAGGTCAATTAACATTCCATATTAGTATAGTAATTAAAATTGAAATCGATACAATAAACAAAGAACAAAATTAAAAAATCGTATTTTTTGAGTGACAAATATAGTTTGCTAAAAAAATCATCAAAGATGTCCAAACTAAGCACCTCCTTGTTGAACACACAATAAACATCTTTGGCGCACAGAGTTACAACGATTTATTAGGCGAATTGGTGTAATAGGTCCAAAAGCTTGCCTAGTAGCCTTCTCCAATTCTTCTCTCGTCCCAATGGTTCTTCCCTTATATATAAGGTCTTCGAAAGGAGTCACAGGACCTAGCAGGCCAAGATATGGGGCCCCTTGTTCCAATCTAATTCTCTCTAAATTCTCCATTTAATAGTTCAGTTGTAACCCTAGATCATGTATATTTATGATCTAGGGTTGTAACCCTGGCATTTTAATTGTAATCGGTAATACTAATATAGAGTGTTGTAGTTGGTAATACTAATATAGAATGTTGATTTACCTTTTCAAAAGTCTTTATTATGCAGATAATTAATAATATATATAGAATATTAAATTGCGATAAAAAATAATTAGGCAACTAGGTCAACACCAAATCAAAGCCCGCTTCGATACAAAGATAAAAAAACTTAATATTTCTCTCATTCTTAGAAATAAATACACATAACTTTATATCGTTCGAAAGGGTTAAACGCCAGAATTTTTTTAAGTTCATAGCCAACTATGATTTCCATTTAAAAAATTATATTTTTTATTATTTCTGACAAAAAGAGCAAGCATAGAAAAAAACTGACTACTCCACTGGATTGTGCTTAAAAAAGAACGTTTTTACAGAATTTTATTATTCCGCGAAATGCACAAAAGTTATGGGCAATTTTCCAAATGGTAAGAAATTCAAAAAGACCCCGTATCTCAGTTGGTAGTGAAAATATCAACATGCGGTTTACGCCATTAAACGTGTCTCAGAAATCGAGCCCATGACATCTATGTCTGTTTTGCTCTATCTAGACAGGAAATAGGTTTTCTCTGTTAAAACAGACCAATTTCGACCACCCTGTACATCAAAATTTTAAGGTGCCGGATTTTTTGTTCCGGTGAACGTATAAACCACTAAATATAACGTTGTGCCAAGACACTTCTCTAAATGAGAATGTTTTTTACTAATTATTCATATAAGCATATATATTATAGAATGTTATTAAGTATCAGTATTTATGCTAATAAATAATAATAGAAAATATAATAATATAATAAACATTAAGAACATTGCTTTCAAATTAGGAATATCAAAAGTTATGTTTGTTGTTTTTTCAGAAATAAATAGTTTATATGATAGTTGCATAATTAGTGTCATAATTTTAATTTAACTCATGTAAAATGCATTGTGATCAAAATTATTTGCTTTTGTTTTCTAGCAAGATGAAGATGCACTTATTCAGTTAGAAGATAACAATACTCATGTAGTCTGTAACGGTGATGAACAGTTAAGAACTAAATTAAGAAATATTGTTATGCAGTGTTTAAAGAAGTTTTAATAAAATTGTGATAATTAAATAGAAGAATTTTTATTTGTACGTGATTAGAATGACATCAGTGTTCTAACATTGCTTTCAAGTACTTTGGTAGGTATTTAGTATTATTTTTGTTTTTTAATAAACTATGAACTATTATGATTAACTTAGAAATAATAATAAAAAATGAAACTATTACCTGAATATTTCTTTAAATCTGTTTTTTAAGTTAAATATTGAGAAATTTAATAAGAGAATAAGTGATATTAACTCTATCTATACCAATTGTTATTAAAAATAAAATACAAGATTTTTGTTAATTCAATTTTATTAAATCAACTACAAAATATAAATATAGATACATTTAGTTCCAAAATACCACTTTGTATTTTCTTGTCTTTTAGCTAAATAGTATATTAAACTAAAACACACATATGTTTTGTAACTTGGTCCATTGCAAATAAGAGTCTTAGAGTTTTGAAATATGTTTTAAAATATTAAAAATTATAAGGGTGAGTGTTATTGCAGAAAATTATTAATTGTTATAGACAATAATACATAGAAAAAATATTTATAAATAAATACATACTTATTTATTAGATGTATTATAAAAATATCACTCGGTCCTTTGCAAATAAGAGTCTTAGAATTTTGAAATATGTTATAAAATATTATTGAAAATTATAATGATGAGTATGATTGCAGAAAATTATTAATTGTTATAGAAAATAATACATAAAAAATATTTATAAATAGATATATATATACAGGGTGAGTTTCCTACGATGTTCTCTATGGGCATCTCGGAAACTACTGGAGATAGAGAGTCGTTTAAATAGGGAAAGAATTGCAGTTTTGTGGGATCATAAATATGCGCCTTTCAGATTTTTGAAAAAGTTCATGGCTTACTAGATATTTCGAAAAAAACAAATTTTGGCTATTTTAAAAATTGTCCCTAATTCCATTACAATCTATTTTAGACAAAAAGTGTTCAGATAAAAGTTGTAGATAATCACATTCCTAATGAGTTTGTGTTCTCCGATTTTTTATAAAACCTGTCATTTTTGACATATAACACAAACATATGTTTTTTTAAATGGAAACCATAGTTGGCTATGGCTTCATAAAAAGCGCCATTTTTTAAGCTTTTCAGAAATATAAGCTATAATATGTTTCTTTCACAAAATTACTGAGTTATAGCCAATTCTTATCTTTCTTGACTAATTTCACTTAGTTAGCCATGGAAACAAGTTCAATCGTCGTTGCTCTCAGAAATGTGAAATTGTGTCACATCCAATCTTTGTAAATTAAAATAAACAAAAATTGTAAATAAAAATTTTTCAAATGAAAAAAAGCGTGTAGGATTATTGGTTCAACTTTTCTTGGCTATACAGGATACGTTGACTGGTGAAAGTTACTTACGTTTTTTAGAGAACGGTTTTCAATGGTGTTCAAATTTTGTTGTGATTTATAACTTATAAAAAGACAAAATATGTTATTATAAACGGCTCTTTACAATTTAGATTACACAAACTAAAACTCAAAGAAATAATATCACTACGTACACTTTAAGTTATTTTAGAAAATATTCAAAAAATCCGCAATTATTTTGAGTACATAAATGTATCTTTTTAAAACTGAATTTCTAGCTATTGTCACAGAACGACCGGTCGCCTTAACTAAACTTCTCCTGTTCCGCCTCTTCGAGTGCCTCTCTTAATTCATAAGTTTTTTTGTAAACATTGTTGTTAACCATACCGCATAAAAAAATCTAAAATGGATAGGTCAGATGACCGAGGAGACCCATGCAATTGGTCCACCTCCCTGAGTCTACATAATTATGATATAAATAATTTTTTAAATAACATTTCTTTCATTGTGGGGGGGGGGGTTTGGTGCGTCATAATGGAAGTCATGTTGGAACCACTGTATTAATGCGCGAGTATCTAAATTTAACTTTTCTAACGTCTTGAAAACCGTTTTCTAAAAAACATAACGTTCACCGGTCAACATATCCTCGAAACTGTATGGCCAAAAAAAGTTGAACCAATAATTCTACACGCTGTTCTTCATTTAAAATACTCTTATTTACAATTTTAGTTTATGTTAATTTACAAAGATTGGATGTGACAATTTCACATTTCTGAGAGCAACGACGATTGACCTTGTTTCCATGGCTAACTAAGTGAAATTAGTCAAGAAAGATAAGAATTAGTTATAACTCAGTAATTTTGTGAAAGAAACATATTATAGCTTATATCGTTGAAAAGCTTAAAAAATGGCGCTTTTTATGAAGCCATAGCCAACTATGGTTTCCATTTAAAAAAACATATGTTTGTGTTATATGTCAAAAATGACAGGTTTTATAAAAAATCGGAGAACACAAACTCATTAGGAATGTGATTATCTACAACTTTTATCTGAACACTTTTTGTCTAAAATAGATTGTAATGGAATTAGGGACAATTTTTAAAATAGCCAAAATTTGTTTTTTTCGAAATATCTAGTAAGCCATGAACTTTTTCGAAAATCTGAAAAGCGCATATTTATGACCCCACAAAACTGCAATTCTTTCCCCATTTAACTGACTCTCTATCTCCAGTAGTTCCCGAGATACCCATAGAGAACATCGTAGGAAACTCACCCTGTATAGGTATATGGTAATCGCAAAACAATTTCCGATGCACATGATCAACTTTGAGTGACAAGCGATGTCGACAGCGCTGCCAGATTGTGATGGATTTATGAGATGAATCTTAATTTAAAATTGACAAACAACATATTTATTATATCATCATTTTTTAAAGAGTTTTACGTTTTATTTTTAATTTAATAACTAATATTTTAGTGAATAATTCATTTATTTGTTTTGTAGCTTATTTTGATTATTACATATTGGCAAAAACTAGTCCATTATGAAGATTATTATAGGCGTTATTATTGGTTATTTATTTATTAATGTACATCTTACAACGCCATAAGTGGTATATAATAACAAGTAAGAGGGCGCTATTAATGCACAAACTAATAATCACAGAATTTAATAAAAACTAACTTTGAAAGTGGTATAATGTGCTTATCAATCAAACTTACTTTTCTGACTGCAGTCAAGGGTAATAAAGGACCGTTCTCGTTCAAAATAGTTAAAAAAAAACAGGAAAGCTACAAGTTCTTTGCTTCGACTTTTTAAATGCTTCGGCATATTTGCAACACACAATTTCAAGAAATGCAATACAAAAACTCGAAAATTTAGTTCTTAAAAGAACTGTTTGTGCTGTAAAAGTGCAATTTTAAAAAAAAAATACTATGAAAAATTTTTAAAAAAGACTATGAAAATTTAAAAGGACTACGAAAAAAGACTATTGAAAACAGGCAAAAAAAACGAGAATTACTTACAAAGATTCAACAACACGATATTATACAAAATAATGACTGACACTAGGATAATTAATTGTCAAATAATAAAAGACAACATTGCTGAACACGGCGCAATGTGACCAACATAGCGATAGTAAAATTCGGTTTAAACTAATGTTTGCAGCTTTAATCTAAATAAAATATCTGTTACAATCATTTACTCTATAAAGTAAATTGAAGAGCTGCTCGGTATCTTAAATTATACAAAAAATTAAATATTTTTGCCAAAATTTTATTTAGTCAGATTTATAGACTTTCAATATTATATGTCAATGTCGATATGATTGATGACGTGCATCGGAAAATGTTTTGCGATTGCAATAGGTATTTATTAGATGTATTATAAAAATATCACTCATTAACTAATAAAACTTTGCTGATTTTCTAATGCTGAGTAAACACAGAACACGTGTAATTAATCCCGAATGATCGAAAAAAACGACGTCCAGTTTGCTGGAAAATGACGATCGGTGACTTATCCCATATAAATTTACGAAAGCGATCTTCATTTCATAGCCTTCGCTGACGCCATTTTTTTTCGATCATACGGTATAAATGATTATTAAAAAATACGCCTTTTGGACATTATATCCTTTAGAATTACTGTACTTATTATTAAGTTATTTTATTTTTTTGCTGTACTGAGCAATTTATTAATGAAGTTTAAAAGACTTAGTTTAGAAGGAATTTCTTTACAAACTTTGATATTTAATATAAATTAAATATTATTTTGAACAACTCTGAAGTAAATCTTCTCGAGAACTTTCGATTATCTGTCGCCTCATGCTACTCAATTGCTTTAAAAAAGCGCTAGGACTGCACGTAGGAGTTCTCTGTCTCTTATGCGTTTTCCTAGGCAAACTGCCATAGTCAGAAAAAGTGACTGGGTTGCTTTCAAGGCTGGAGTCTTCGACATCTACGTTACTCAAGTCCCACGGGTTGTATTTTGGTCTATCAAAATATACATCTTCATCGCAGTCTTCTTCCGAAACCGAACTGATATTTCGCGACCTGGGTATCTTGGATATTTTGTCTTCCAGTCTTCTACAAGAATCTTCTAAAAGAGTTTCATATTTATTAACGGGTATCGTGAACTCTGGAATAAGATGCGATGTTTGAGAGAAACAACTCTCCATTGAAGGTAGTTCCGTTTGTGTAGCGCTGGTTTCTCTACATGCAGAACTTCTTTTTCGTCTTTTTTTCGATTTTTCGATACCAGACAATTCATTCACCGTTACCTGGATATCAAAATCATCTAAATGCGGATGCTGACAAGCTGGGACAGTGTTTGAACTAGCCTGAGAAATATTACTCATCAAGTTCTTGGCCTCTTCCAAGAATTCTTTCATAGCTTTAATCATGCAATCCTTTTTATGTTGCGTATGATTTCTGGCAAACTGGACCTTTTTAGTATTTGTTCTGTGATAATCTATGGAATCTGGAACATCTGATAGGCAGTTATCATCAGTGAGACTGGATTCGTTACTGCTGTAGTCGTGTTTACATGGAATATGATTGAAAACATTGTGTTTGTTTACCATTACGTATCGTTTATCGCGATACTTGGTGTCAGGGCACTGACTAACATTAGCGTGGAATTTCTGTGGACGAAAATCTGGAAAATGCTTACATTTTTCAACGAAAATATCACTTACAAAAGTCTGTGATGCTCTAGTAGAAATTACGTCGCATTTTTGAAACCTTTTTCGGAACGGAGGAACAGTGAGGACATTTACATTGCCTGCACAAACTTTTTCTACAGGGAAACAAGTAACTTTTTCGTATTTATCGTCCGTTTCACCAGCTTTTCCATACAATATCTGATGTTCCTTCTCTTTTGCGTGTTGTTCCAAAGAATTATGATTGCTTATCAGATCCGGTGTGGGAAATGAAACATTGTTGCGCAAAGAATTATCTAAACTATCATCTGACATGCTGTCAACTGTGTTTCCATTAATGTAGTTATGTGAAATGTTGATATTAACAGATTCAGTAAATATAGGGCTGTTTTTGTTCTCTGTTAAATACTTAGTAAATGAAAATGCTCCTGGTTTTTCTTCTGACGTTTGCACGCCACAACTTCGAGTTAAGAACAACACATTTTGGAAAGTTCCACTGATAAACTGGCTCAGTAAAGTACATTCCACTTCAGCATCTTTCTTAGTTTCTTGTTCCAAATCGTTACAGTCAGTTGAAACTTCTTTAACCCGCAACATTGGAAACAGATCAGTCTGAGTTTCTTCGTTTTTTCTTCTGTGAGCCCTCAGAGCCTTTTGAGTGAGTTCTATCAGTCTGGATCTAGCGTTTGTGCATATTTTTAGCTCTTTTGGGGTTGTGCTGAGATTTTCAGTTGATGTTGCCATATCCTTTTTGTTTACCTTACTATACAATCGACTGGTAACAGCTGCAACAATCTGTGATCGTTGTCTAGTGTAAGGAGGTTTCTTCTTCGTCGTCTCGGGCTTGGTTTCGGGTTTCTTTAAACCTGACTCATCCGTAATAACGCCCTTCTCTGGCCTTTTCCTGAAATTTCCTAGAATTTTCTTTTGTGTTATCGTTTTTAAGAGTGGTGAAGTGTGAGTACTTTTATTGATAGCCTGTCGTCTCAAAGACAAAGCAGTTTGCTTGATCTGAACCCCAGAAGTACTACCGGAATGTCTTCTGTCTACCTGTGAGTTAGTTTGGGTTTTGGTGTCAGATGTATGCTTGGGCGATTGTAGAGATTCTTGAGAACTGTAAGATCTATTTGAAGTATCAGTCTCAATGCTGTAGGTTCGATCCATGCTGTAAGTTCGCTTTAACTGTCCAAATTTGTCCAAAGAAACAGAACTCTGGACGTCTATGATAGGTAAAAGTCTGTCTGTAGTTATTTGTTGAGGAATTGGTGTTGTACTGGATTCGCTAACTTCTGTTTCTCTTCCATCATCATGTAACGCTTCAGGTAAGCTGCTTGTTGATGATTCAGAGTTTCTTGATACGTTTTCTTTAGTGTTGTCATCTTGTGGATCAGGGATTTCCTCAAAAGGAAGATGCTGATGCCCAGAATTGACATCCATTTGATTAGGCCAGGCAGGATTGGGGACAATCTGAAATGATAGAAAAATGTTTCTATTGAACAAATAATTAAAACAATATGTAACGGCCCTAACATAAACTAACATCATAATTATTTGTAATTCAAGTATTTTATTGTAAAGGGGGTACTTTGTGAATGGGTAGATATTTACTTGATTAATGTATAGTTCAAAATATTTTCCTTTAATAAAATAAGAAATCTTGATACATCGGATATAAAATTATTAGTGATAAATATCGATACCGATAGATATATTTTTAAAATGTAGATGTTTTGATAAATCTATATTTTTGGAAGTTTAAGAAAATGTTTTGTTTGTACAAGATGTCAAAATTTAGGATCCCGTAATCAAAATTGTTATACTCTCATTTGTGAGATACAGGGTGTAAAAAATATTGCATTTTGTGACCTTTCTCGGTTATCCTCCTACTTACTAAAATTCGTTTTTAAATAGTGTTTATATATAATCCAGTGGCGTACACAGATTTCTGCTTTTGTTGAGTACTTTACTGGATTTTATGTGTATTCAAAAACTATTACCAGTACTAACTAGTACCCGTTTTGCCAGCTTTTAGATTCGTTAAGTTGAAGGTTAAACGATGGGGTCCCAAAGTGCAATATTTTCAATTTCACTCAGTATCGTGAACGATTCTAAGATAGCAGATAATGATAATTTTTATTATAGGATCATAAGGTTTCACATAAAAGGGTCAGTTAACAAGATATTATTTTCAAAAACAACGGAGATATAGTTCTGCACACACGCAAAAGCGGCACACACGGGGGACACTCTATGCAGATACTAATTGAAGTAAGGCTTTACCTGGTGGGATAGGGTTAACAAGTCCCTGAGTTTGGCAATCTCCGCCCTTAATTCTCTGATAGTAATCTCTTTGGGGTCTTCCACGATGACTGGTTGATAGATAATGCGTTTAGCTCTTTGTCCGAAACGTAGAGTGTTCACAGTCTCGCTGTAGCACGCGCTAGACGGTGATATTGCTATTAAGGAAAATAAAATTATGTAAGTATAGTATGTAGAATACATCTGAAAATAAGGTATGATTTTTAAAGCCGTACAAAGTACCATACAGGGTAATTCAAGTTCGATCCGCATAACTGGAATCTCGAAAACTATAGGAGATACGAGGTTGTGCGTTAACGTTCCTATAGTATGCCGAGATGTCTTCGAGCCGAGATAAATGTCCATGCAGCTTTACAAATAATGTTCTGTCTTGTTGATATCTTTCTGGATACGTTTCTAAATATAATAATTATGATTTATGATGTTCTTGTGCCTATTGAAAAAGTGATTTTTAAAAATTATTGACGTATTTGACGTTTAAGTGCCGCTATGCATCACTTGTTGTAAGTCGTTAGAATCGCAATGTATTTATCTATTTTGATATGTAACAATCTAATATGGTGCCCATAATGAAAAAAAATTGATGATGGCCAAAAGATGAAACGTCGGATGACAAATCTGAAAACACTGTTGTGTAGCTTAAAAAAAGTGGCATTGAAAAACTTTGAGTTTACGGATACCTTGTCAAATAACGTCCGAAAAAAATAAATTCGAAATATTCAATTTTCGTTTTTTCTCGTATATCTTCGGAACTACTCGGAATTTTAAATGTTTCTAATCAGCACTTGTATTTAACACATTAAGCACGTATTAAGCACATTAATATTTGCCCTAATTTAACCATCCTCTTATTTCCAATAGTTTTCGAGATCCCAATCGAGATCCCAACACGGACGCAATCTTTTATCTTCAGCTAGAGCGGAGATAACCGCCAAGGACAGCGAATGAGATACTCTGTATTTGTATTTTGTATACCACTTTCCGGATTTTGGCATTTGTATCGTTTCATATTGTGTTAGATGTTCTACTTTTATAGAGACCATTATAAAAATGATTTTTTTGCTTAAATGTTGAGAAGCATTTTTTTTTCTAGGTTTTCTTGTAAATTTAATCTACTATATGTTGCCATATTATGAATATATTATGTTTTTAACTAAAAATTTAAAAAAAAAAATTTTTTTTCGTGTGTCTGGGGTCGAAATGTAGTATCTGTTTTAAACTACATAGAAGTACACATATGCCAAACAAGTGTTTCAATTGAGAAAACTACATCATAGTGTAGATGGTATTCAGAAATAAGTTAGAATCTGTTCATTTCCACAAAGCGGTGGCTCATGATGGCTGAATAGCCGAAATCGGTTACAAATAAAGGCTTTTTGATAATGGTTTGACATTGATTTTGTTTATCACAGTAAGTTAAATCAATAAATAGGTTGAGTAACTACAAGGTGGTAAAACATATTTTGATTTTTAGAAAATTTAATGGTAATCCCTTGAGTTCTAGCACAGAATAGTATGGTTAAGTGATAGTACTAAGTACTATGTTTCTAATCAGTTCTGTTGTCAGAGTTGGGTACGTTTTTATTTATTATGAGTTGGACTCATTTTTTCTGAACTATATTATATTGAGGAATATTTATTGGAACATTATTATTATTGAATATTGATTTGAGGTGATTATTATTGAATATTGATTTGACTTTTTTATTACTTTTTTTCTAGCATTTTCTTTGTTTTTTTATTAAATAGTTGAAAGAAAGAGTTTTTCTCATTTTTTGTTAAAAATCACTTATTTACACACCAAATATGTTTAAAACAGAATTTTAAACACATTTTAAAGACGCGTCAATAATTTTTTAATAAATCAAATACACCAGTTTATTAAAAACAATCAACATTATTTGTGTTGGTAGATTTGTGTAAATTTATACAAAATGTTTTGTTTTCTCATTGCATATATACTTCATCAGTTGCCACTGAAAACGACGCACTTTTTATAGCGAACCGTTTATAAAATAGGTATTCTCTCCGGGTATTTTTCAACCTATAAATTAAATTTAAACCGCTCCAAATATACGATTTCGTAAAGGCAACTCTTTCTAGGCGGTTTTTGAACTCCTTTTGGCATCGAGCCAAGTAGACGCATAGTTTTAGGGCGTGGAACGCCGCTAATAATCAAACGAGCTTTATCTAAGCCATGTTAGCTACCCTGCGTGATTACAGGCTGTAATTAAGGCATTACGGACTGCTAAATGGCAATAAAAGGTTACAGAGCGCTGCATTGAAAAATCAAAACATTTAATTTAAAAGAAAAACCATGTTGAATAAATAATAATTTTTCTGAAATTTATTTGTATCCATCCTATGTATTTATTTTATTTTAGTAAAATTTTTATAGGACAAATAATAATGAATTGTTGTAGTTCTATTAGAATAAAATTTGTATAATTCAGGCCTTGTATAAACAAAGATTCAAGTAAGCTATTAGTTGGTTTACAAAAGTCCATAATAACACATATCTACATAATAGTTACTTTGTGATAATACTTCACATATACGCGTTAAATAGAACATATTTTTATTAAATCCATATAAGAACAAGAAAAATAATCACAAATAAATCAAACACACTGGTTTATTAAAAATAATCTAAAACCTTTAGTTGCAATTTTTAGGATTTTTTTCAGTATTTTAAAATCCTTTATCTATTAAAATTATAACGAGATATACGAACTAAAATAATTTTTAAACGTCTTAAAAATAAAAAGTAGGAAATAAATAAAAAGTTATAGCGGTGAACCACTTTTGAGGCGCACCCGGTACAACAGCCCTGAAAGTATGTGTAGTTATTGAAGGCTCGCACTGTATAATCCAACAATTAGATATAAACTCAAGTACACCTAACTAATTTTAAATGTTTTCACAAACTAACTTATAAGTTAGTCTGTAATGTATTGCAAATGCGCCTTAAAAGTGGTTCATCGCCCTATAACTTTTTTATTTTTTCAGATAACAAAACGAGATTTGGTATGTTAGTATGTGACATAATTTAGGATTGATTGACGTAATAAATAATAATAATAAAATAATAATTACTACAACTTTTGATTTTTAAATAACACCCTCCGTATTTTTTTACTTTATTCGATAAAAAATTACAGTCTGAATAGAATGATATATCATATATCAACTTTTGACATTTACGCATATGGGTTATTTGAAATTGTAACATGCGGTTCATAAAGACAATTTGACTCGAAATTCCAAGTGTGTGGTACCAAATTATTCGTAAAAAAAATCTTTTTCTAAATATGCTATGTTGTTATTAACCCTTGTTCCATTTGAAAATATTGAGATATGATTAAAAATAAGATTTGGGTATCTTTTAACCAGTCATAGGACAAAACACAAACATAAGACGGTCAAATCTATTTTTCCAAGCTTCCTTGATTAAAAATTAGTGTTTTTAACACAGTCATGGTAGCTAATTGTTTTTAAGCGAAAATATCAAAAGTTGACATATGATACGTCATTCTATTTAGAGAGTCATTTTCTATCAAATAAAGTAAAAACATACCGAGGGTGTCATTTAAAAATCAAAAATAATTTTCGGTGAAACAGAAAGTGACCAAAAACAATTGAATACGTCAATCAATTCTAATTTATGTCATATACTAACATACCAAATCTCGTTTTTATTAAAAAAGTTATGGGGTGAGCCACTTTTGAGACGCACCCAGTCCGTAAAAATTTTGCGCGAGAAAAAATTTGGATTTTAATTTTCAGTTAAAGTTAAAAAACATGATATCTTGATAATGTGGAAACATAGGTAGTAGATTAAATTTAGAGGAACGAAATCATAGAACAAATCCAGTGGTTCTCAAAATTTAAGAAAAATAAATTGTTTTTTTTTTCTAAATTTTGGAAGTAAAGTAACAAAGCAAAGATAAATTTTGTTTCTTTTATCGGCATCTACCGACCCTTAACTTACCTTGTGTATCCGGTGCCTTTATTATTATTGTTGTATACTGGGTGTCCCATTTTTTTTTGTGTTTTATGGGGTTTCTCGTTAATGTGCTATAAAAACCGCATCTTTGTATCTCTACTCATAACCGAGAAAGCCCATAAAACAGACGAAAATGGGACACCCTGTACAGTAGGTATATTATAAATAGACCAGAAGGGCTATGAAATGTGGGAGCAATAAAGTTAGCTATATTTAATCATATCTATCAAGTCTTTTCGTTCTACACGATAAAAAAATTATATATAAAAACTCTAAAAAGATGATACCTGCCGGCTATCGTGCTTATCATTGATATTATCATCAATATCCGGCATAATTAACACTAAAAGACTAAAAAATAACTAAACAGTTAGGAATGAAACTCACTTGCTACCATCACAGTGTTTGAATTTCCTTGGAGCGTGTCCTTCAGAAGCCATGTCAAAATGGAGTCTCTGTAGGGTACAAACTTGTTCCTAGAACTCCTGGAAGATGATCTAGATTGCTCAGCTATATAGAGAGAACAATTCACTTTTAAATTCAACGATGCTTAAAAATGACAATTTAAATTTTTAATCGACGTAGATGAACAATTATGATAAATTAGAGATTAGCTAGAGTTAACATAGTTTGAAAGAAATAAAATATGGAATTGTTGGAGGTGTAAAGTGATACTGAGGACGAGCAGTTTATGAAAGAGAAACGCCCGTGAAGAAGGAATGTAGAATCTAAAATTGATCCAGCTGAAAATATTATTGTCGCTGTGTCTTGGGCGCTTCAGCACGCTGTTTTAACTAACACTGTCGCAGCTTTCTATTAATAAAAATAAAATGTTTTAGATCATTAAAATGTACTGATATATAGGGCGTTTCTTCAACAAGAAAAGGGATTTCAAGATGTGATGCCTGAGACCATTCTCTAAAAATTAGATACAAGCTATTAAAAATTTCAGAACGTCTTTCGAAAATAAAATGTAAGGCGTCCATCCTTGCCTGCTTAGGTAGTATTTTTTCTATAAAAAACATCTTGTCGATATATTCTCTAGTAAAGTAAACCATTATCGAGAAAACCTATAAAATTGAATCATCCTAAAATTTCACATTGTCATATACAGTATGTCCCAGGATTGTCTTTACAAGAGGAAAAACGGTTTTTATTGTCAACTTTTTGAGAAAAATGCATTGTTTATAAAAAGTTTTGCTTGTTGTAAAATGGTTAATCCCGTTTATACTTTTACAAATTTCCATACCGTTTTAGAGAAAAATACAAAAATATAGTTGAATTTTTAGGCGGCTTAGAACGCTTTCACACACGTCGGCAAAAAAGGCTCTAAGGGCGCTTGCACACCTTTGCACAGACACCGGAAAAATCGGTGCCGGAGTCGGCGCCGGGTTTGCATCCGTTTCGGCAGTTGCATTTAATTATTCTATTGTATTTACCGGTCGCCGACTATTTTACCGGATCGGAGTATACAGGGTGGCGCCTCTCATACGCCGCGGAGGCTCCAAGGAGAACGACAGTTTGTATTGAAATGACATTTTGTGATCATATGTAGGTTAATTCAGAGCACTTTTTAAAAATATAGAGAGTTCTACAGGGTGTCCCCAAAAAAAGTTACATATCAAAGTTGTATTTTTTGTAATGGAACACCCTATATATTAATTGATTTTCGGATTCTGGGAGAAAAATAAAGGTGAGTTTTATAAGAGACGTATATGACTAAAATGTAAAGTTTTTGACATAATTAACATTTCCTAGAAATAAAGAACCATTTTTAAATTACAATAAAAGCTACCTCAATTGGAATTTACTCGGTATAGCCTAAGATGTAGTTAAATTAACTATTGTACTTTAAATAAAATTAAAACTTGATCCAAAAAGTTATACAGGGTGAGACAAAATTAATATTGAACATTGGCCAGCTTTAAAAGCATGTTACTCTTTTATTTTAAATGGAACACACAGTATATTATTCCGATATTCAATCGAGAATTCATGTCTCTTCAAAATACTATTAAGGTTGCCTACCCCTCAAACAAAGATTTTCCTAGATATTTTCATTAACATGATTTGATCTGAGTAGATCTTTATTATTTGACAAAATCTAGGTGGCTGTGATATGGTCTGACGTTACTTCAACATAGCTGTCTAATTAGTCCAACTTTAACAACTAGTTATCATTTGTGTCAGTGAAAACAAAAAAATTTTTCAGATTTTTGCCGAAAATGCAAACTTATTCTACACCACAGAGAATTCATATGATTCTATTAGTTGGCGAATGCAGTGTGCATTCACCAACTAATAGAATACTAAATAGAATACCATTTAATAGAATACTTAAATGCTCCTGATCTTATCTAGTCGGTTTTTGATGGGGATATGTTAAAGACAGTGTTTACAAAACTTGATCAACTAGTGTCGACAACATCAGAGAAATTATTGTAGCTGCCTTTCTAACTCTTAACTCCACATATGTCTTTTAAAATAAAAAGATCCTTTTGAAAAGACAATTATTTTATGCAGTTAACAGGAAAGGAAGCATTTTGAGCATTTGATCTCATCTAGCAAATTTTTGTCACATAATTATAGGTTTATATCTAGCTTTAATTCTGTAATAATTAAAATATGTTTTAAACGTGTATCTTTTTATTACCGTTGAGTAATTTACTATACAATCTTTAATTTTTGTTAAATTAACAAAAGGTATATCACACAGCCACCCTAGATTTTTTCAAATTAAGATCTACTGACGCAAAATCATAAAAACTAAAATATCTAGGAAAATCTTTGTCTCAGAGGTAGGCAACCTTAATAACATTTTGAAGATATATAAATTCCCCATTGATCAGCGGAAAAATATACAGGGTGTTCCATTTAAAATAAAGGAGTAACTTGCTTTTAAAAGTGACTAATGTTCCATATTAATTTTGTCTCACCCTGTATAACTTTTCGGGTCAAATTTCAATTTGGTTTAACATACAATGACTACTGTAATTAAATATCAGGCTATACAAGGTCAACTAAAATTTAGGTAGCTGTTATCGAAATTAAAAATTTACTCTTCATTTTCACAAAATGTGAAATACGTCAAAATAGGTATATGCTTCTTTGGTAAAACCTTTATTTCTTTCGTAGAATCCGAAAATTAATTAATATATAGGGTGTTCCATTAGAAAAAACACAACTTTGATGTGTAACTTTTTTAGGGACACACTGTATAATTCTATATATTTTTAAAAAGTGCTTTCACCTTCCACCCCTTTAACCTACATATGCTGCCAAAGTTCATTTCGATATAAACTACCGTTCTCCTTGGAGCTTCCATGAGAGGCGCCACCCTATATGTGAAGGAGCTAATATATTTATATTGCAATCGATTTCAGCTCCGGCACCGGTACTGATTTTGCCGGCGTGTGTGAAAGCGTTCTTAGACTTGACAAAAAAAATTTGATCATAACGTTATACAATTTCAAAAGTATTTTGATCTCCATCTCAAATAAATCATATATCGTTTTTATATTTAATCATAACTCAATTTATTTAAATGGAACGAGGGTGGCTCATTAGCATATTTGGAAAAAGAATGCTTTAGGAATTTGTTAAGACTTGGAATTTCGAGTCAAACTGTCACTCAATTTACGGCAGTGGCACATAAGATTGAAATTTAAAATACTATTTTTTTAAGTGAAAATGTCAAAAGGTGACATATGATATGTCATTCTATTCAGAATGTAATTTCCTATCGAATAAAGTAAAAAATACCGCGGCTACTATTTAGAAAACAAAATGTAGAATAATTTCCGCTGAAATAGGAGGTGTCCTAAAATAATTGAATATGTCAATCAATTCTGATTTATGTCTTATAGTAACACACCGAATCTGTTTTTTTATTTGAAAAAAGTGAAGAAGTTATAGGGATGAACTACTTTTGGAAAAACACCCGGTATACACGGATAAGAATATATTCTTTTGAATTCCTGCAATAAAAATATTTATAACTATAAAGACCATGCCTCATAGCCTCTTTAGTTACAAATATTTTTTCTGCAGATTTACGGCTAATACTTTCCGAGATACAGCCGAGACTATTCTGTACTGAGTATCTTGTACAAAATTATCAGAACATCGACATACAGGGTGCGATACAGTATATTAATGCGAGGAAGTCGAATATCGTCGTTGTTGACGAAGATAATATGGTATCGTCGGCTGTATGTCAAATGTACAGCCTTGCCACAAGAAGTGTAATTTTTACTCCTAATAAAACAACATACTATTTTTGATAGATAATGATGAATTTATTTTGTAAATTGCAACCCATAATTTTTTGGAATTGGATTAACCATAGAATTCTGCATATAGTACATTATTTCAATTTAAAGGAATATGCGGTGATGACATATGCTATATTTTATTTACTAAAACTTTGGTTAAAAACAGTATATCTTAAAAGTGGTAAAAATCCGAAGTGAATTTAACTTTTTTAATATTTACCTATATTTTCCTAAACACAAAAGATAATAGAATAAATCCGTGAAGGAAAACTCACATTATCTTATAAACAATAATATATTTTATGGCGTGGCCAACATTGCAATATTTATAATGCTGTATCTCAATTTTTTTTAAATGCAATACCCTGTATATTATTTTTCTTTTAGATGCAGAATTAAAAAACGAATATTTTTTGTATTCAAAGTATTCCTAAATTTTTAACGCCTTACATTATATTCGCGTTATATTAAATATTACATACTGCTACGTTTATCTAAGCCACTTAATGATTGCATTTTATTACATGTATATATATATTATATGCAATATAATACTGCAAACATCTGCTACGGGATAAGAATATTTGAAATACAAAAATGTTGTTTTTTTAATTCTGCATCTAAAAGAAAAATAATATAGTGTGACATTTAAAAAATTGAGATAATAAATATTACAATGTTAGCCACACCATAAAAAATATCCGGTATAAGATAATGTAAGTTTTCCACCACTGTTTTATTCTGTTATTAAAGCCAAAAAGGCTCTCATGGTATGCAGAAAACTGGCTGGAATATACATAGGGCTGCGCCCTTACATTTTGCGGCGGATGATAAACGAATGATTACCTATGCAGCAGTTGGTTAGGTATCTAACCTAACATAACTCATGATTACCAAGGTACAGGAAGGCAAAAATTGTGCAAAGTACAGAGACTGGCATGCATTTGCATCATAGGTGTCATGAGCACATGCCCAACAATGCTATGGAGGTCATTCTAGACCTAACCCCCCCCCCCCTAACCCTTATTGTCGTTTTGTCGTGGGTAGATATGCCAATGTGACAATGATTAGAATCGTCATTGACGGAAACAATACTGGGAGAATTGTCAGCTCAGGGGCTTGGAATAGCCTCAAAAGAAAAATTCCACTCCTCCAGCTCCCAGAAAATGACATACCTACCAAGAATGTACAAATTTAAGAAACACCTCACAAGCAACCTATTGAGTAATAAAAAGG